TGTATCGGTCATGTTTCTGACTGCCTTTAGTACAGAATACATTATATATTGGCGATGTTTCTGTCTGCCAATAGTACAGAATACATAATGTATCGGTTATGCTTCTGACTGCCTATAGTATAGTATAACCCTAACCCTGTGTGGCGATATTGTCACACAAAGTATCTCAGAATACATTATGTATTGGTAATGTTTCTGACTGCCTAAAGGACAGAATGCATTATGTCTTGGTGATGTTTCTGACTACCTGTAGTACAAAATACATTATGTATCGGTTATGTCTGGTGATGTTTCTGACTAACTATAGTATAGAATAGTATAGAATACATTATGTATCGGTGAGGTTTCTGACTGACTAGAGAACAGAATACATTAATTATTGGTGATGTTTCTGAGTGCCTAAAGTACAGAATAAATTATGTATTGGTTATGTTTCTGCCTGCCTAAAGTACAGAATGCATTATGTATTTGTGATGTTTCTGACTTCCTATATAGTACAGAATCCATTATGTATTGGTAATGTTTCTGACTGCCTATAATACATAATACATTATGTATCGGTGATGTGTCTGACTGCCTATAGTATAGTATAACCCTAACCCTGTGTGGCGATATTGTCACACAAAGTATCTCAGAATACATTATGTATTGGGGATGTTTCTGACTGCCTTTAGTACAGAATACATTAGGTATTGGTGATGTTTCTTACTGCCTAAAGTACAGAATACGTTATGTATCGGTGATGTTTCCGACTGACTAGAGTACAGAATACATTAATTATTGGTGATGTTTCTGCCTGACTAGAGTACAGAATACATTAAGTATCGGTGATGTTTCTGACTAACTATAGTATAGAATAGTATAGAATACATTATGTATCGGTTAGGTTTCTGACTGCCTATAATCCAGAATACATTATGTATCGGTGATGTTTTTGACTGCATATAATACAGAATACATTATGTATTGGTTATGTTTCTGACTGCCTATAATACAGAATACATTATGTATCGGTTATGTTTCTGACTGCCTATAATACAGAATACATTATGTATCGGTGATGTTTCTGACTGCCTAAAGTACAGAATACATTATGTATCGGTGATGTTTTTGACTGCATATAATACAGAATACATTATGTATTTGTTATGTTTCTGACTGCCTATAATACAGAATACATTAATTATTGGCGATTTTTCTGACTGCCTATAGTACAGAATACATTATGTATCGGTGATGTTTCTGACTGCCTATAGTATAGAATACATTATGTATCGGTGATGTTTCTGACTGACTATAGTACAGAATACATTATGTATTGGTGATGTTTCTTACTTCCTATATAGTACAGAATACATTATGTATTGGTGATGTTTCTGACTTCCTATTTAGTACAGAATACATTATGTATTGGAGATGTTTCTGACTGCCTATAGTACAGAATACATTATGTATTGGCTGCCTATAGTACAGAATACATTATGTATCGGTGATGGTTCTGACTGCCTAAAGTACAGAATACATTATGTATCGTTGAGGTTTCTGACTGCCTATAGTACAGAATACATTATGGATCGGTTATGTTTCTGACTGCCTATAATACAGAACACATTGATTATTGGCGATTTTTCTGACTGCCTATAGTACAGAATACATTATGTATTGGCGATGTTTCTGACTGCCTATAGTACAGAATACATGATGTATTGGCGATGTTTCTGACTGCCTATAGTACAGAATAAATTATGTATCGGGTATGTTTCTGACTGCCTATAATACAGAATACATTGATTATTGGCGATTTTTCTGGCTGCCTATAGTACAGAATACATTATGTATCGGTGATGGTTCTGACTGCCTAAAGTACAGAATACATTATGTATCGTTGAGGTTTCTGACTGCCTATAGTACAGAATACATTATGTATCGGTGATGGTTCTGACTGCCTAAAGTACAGAATACATTATGTATCGTTGATGTTTTTGACTGCATATAATACAGAATACATTATGTATTTGTTATGTTTCTGACTGCCTATAATACAGAATACATTGATTATTGGCGATTTTTCTGACTGCCTATAGTACAGAATACATTATGTATCGGTGATGGTTCTGACTGCCTAAAGTACAGAATACATTATGTATCGGTGATGTTTCTGACTAACTATAGTATAGAATAGTATAGAATACATTATGTATCGGTGATGTTTCTGACTGACTATAGTACAGAATACATTATGTATTGGTGATGTTTCCGACTGCCTATAGTACAGAATACATTATGTATTGGGGATGTTTCTGACTTCCTATATAGTACAGAATACATTATGTATTGGTGATGTTTCTGACTTCCTATTTAGTACAGAATACATTATGTATTGGTGATGTTTCTGACTTCCTATTTAGTACAGAATACATTATGTATTGGTGATGTTTCTTACTTCCTATATAGTACAGAATACATTATGTATTGGTGATGTTTCTGACTTCCTATTTAGTACAGAATACATTATGTATTGGAGATGTTTCTGACTGCCTATAGTACAGAATACATTATGTATTGGCTGCCTATAGTACAGAATACATTATGTATCGGTGATGTTTCTGACTAACTATAGTATAGAATACATTATGTATCGGTGATGCTCTGACTGCCTATAATACAGAATACATTATGTATCAGTGATGTTTCTGACTGCCTAAAGTACAGAATACATTATGTATCGGTGAAGTTTCTGACTGCCTATAGTACAGAATACATTATGTATTGGTAATGTTTCTGACTGCCTATAGTACAAAATACATTATGTATCGGTGATGTTTCTGACTGCCTACAGTACAGAATACATTATGTATTGGTGATGTTTCTGACTTCCTATATAGTACAGAATACATTATGTATTGGTTATGTTTCTGACTGCCTATAGTATAGAATGCATTATGCATTGGCGACGTTTCTGACTGCCTATAGTATAGAATGCATTATGCATTGGCGACGTTTCTGACTGCCTATAGTATAGAATGCATTATGTATTGGTGATGTTTCTGACTGCCTATAGTACAGAATACACTATGTATCGCTGATGTTTCTGACTGACTATAGTACAGAATACATTAATTATCGGTGATGTTTCTGACTGCCTATAGTACAGAATCCATTATGTATCGGTGATGTTTCTGACTGCCTATAGTACAGAATACATTATGTATTGGTAATGTTTCTGACTGCCTATAGTACAAAATACATTATGTATCGGTGATGTTTCTGACTGCCTATAGTACAGAATACATTCTGTATCGTTGATGTTTCTGACTGACTATAGTACAGAATACATTAATTATCGGTGATGTTTCTGACTGCCTATAGTACAGAATCCATTATGTATCGGTGATGTTTCTGACTGCCTATAGTACAGAATACATTATGTATCGTTGATGTTTCTGACTGACTATAGTACAGAATACATTATGTATTGGTGATGTTTCTGACTGCCTATAGTACAGAATACATTATGTATCGTTGATGTTTCTGACTGCCTATAGTACAGAATCCATTATGTATTGGTGATGTTTCTTACTGCCTATAGTACAGAATACATTATGTATCGGTGAAGTTTCTGACTGCCTATAGTACAGAATACATTATGTATTGTTGATGTTTCTGACTGCCTATAGTACAGAATCAATTATGTATTGGTGATGTTTCTGACTGCCTATAGTACTGAATACATTATGTATTGGTGATGTTTCTGACTGCCTATAGTACAGAATCCATTATGTATTGGTGATGTTTCTGACTGCCTATAGTACAGAATGCATTATGTATCGGTGATGTTTCTGACTGCCTATAGTACAGAATACATCATGTATCGGTGATGTTTCTGACTGCCTATAGTATAGAATGCATGATGTATTGGTGATGTTTCTGACTGCCTATAGTATAGAATACATTATGTATCGGTGATGTTTCTGACTAACTATAGTATAGAATACATTATGTATCGGTGATGTTTCTGACTAACTATAGTATAGAATACATTATGTATCGGTGATGTTTCTGACTGCCTATAGTATAGTATAACCCTAACCCTGTGTGGCGATATTGTCACACAAAGTATCTTATAGACAGGAGCCGTTAACATCATATTCAAGACATTGCTAATTTCAATAACAGAATATGTTCTTTATAGGGGCATTTGAATGCGGATTTGAGTTCCATTTTTTTTTTAAATAAGGGACTAAACGTTTAGAGGTGATCAGGTGGTGCACTGCATAGCACACTTGCCTTTTACCAAGACAGACATGGTTTGATATCCGATTGGACGTGAACAAGTATTCGGTCAGTTTCCTCCCACACAAGTGATGAATATAAGTTGAAAAAAAAAAATTGGTTCAATATTCAATTGTTGTGAAATAAATAAAGTTCATATTTTTTGACCGAGTGTTTCATAGTGACCTAAACATCTTTCTAATGTGACACTCTCAGACGCATAAACCAACATATCAGACATTCAGTCTCATTTTACTGGTAGTGATTTAGGCTTGACATGGTCATGATGTAGACTGACATGCAGTTCCTGTGTTGATGTAATTGTAGCAAGTTATAAATCTCTGAGACATCTTCAAAAAGACTCATCAGTTTGGAAATATCAAAGTTTTAAACACAAAGTATGTATCAAACGTGTGGCAAAGTTTCAAGTCTAGTCATATCTTGACAAAGGGACAAGTCTAGTCATATCTTGACAAAGGGACAAGTCTAGCCATATCTTGACAAAGGGACAAGTCTATTCATATCTTGACAAAGGGACAAGTCTAGCCATATCTTGACAAAGGGACAAGTCTAGCCATATCTTGACAAAGGGACAAGTCTAGCCATATCTTGACAAAGGGACAAGTCTAGCCATATCTTGACAAAGGGACAAGTCTATTCATATCTTGACAAAGGGACAAGTCTATTCATATCTTGACAAAGGGACAAGTCTAGCCATATCTTGACAAAGGGACAAGTCTTGTCATATCTTGACAAAGGGACAAGTCTAGTCATATCTTGACAAAGGAACCAGTTGACCTTGAAACATTGCAACACATTGGATACTTACATTGTTTGTATATAAAAAAGAAGAAGATACATCTCTGAGGTAGTCTCATATTAGCACAGTCAAAATGTAGAACAGATCTCACATGAGAAACTTTGTTATTATACAATCAATATGATTGGAATATTGTACATTATCACCGTGCCTTACTTATGAGATACAGACACCTTACAGTGAAGATCTAACATGCTGATGGGTATCACTGTGGTCATGGAACATCTACTCTCCCATCCTGATATATATTAAGGATCCCTGTCACACTGAAGGAAAAACACTAGAGAGTTCCACTGTAGTTTATGATACATACAGTTACCTCCCCTTAATTTTGTTAGTTAGAGGGGCTGTATTATGATGTAGATCGACCTGGCCAGGGTAGAACTGTTGACAAGGTACCCGATCAGTTGGTTAGAGGGGATGTATAATAATCAGAAGTCCAGGGTTCAAATCCTGGTCTAGCTCTGGTGCATTTTATATTAATAACATTGTTGCTGTTTATTCAACCTTCACTACCTCTACCTTTTTCTAAGAGTTGCAAGGTATATTTTTTTTCCAGAAATCATTTATCAAAGCTATAGACATATCAGAAATATACATGTTTTTTTCAGTGGTACTGGGATCCTTAATAGTACATTTTTTATAAGACAAAAAAAAAATCCTTAATAGGAAATTTGAACTTATGATGGACATTTTAAAATGGTACGGAGGTCTCCATGTAGTGGAGGAATATATCATCATACTTTAATCAGGTTCCCCATTATTATCAACTATTTCAGGCGTGTGCAAACAGCACTCAAGCTGAGGTGTGGTCGGTGAATCTAGCTGTCTTACACATCCAGTTTTACAGAGACACAACACATTGACACCTTATCATCCATTGGTACCTGTACAATTCTGTGGTTGTCTGAAGCAGTCATTTTATAAAATTTCTGCTGTTAGTACATTTGTGAAAAGAGCTGATAATCACGAAAGACCCTTAGTTTTATAATTCTTACAAATATTTAAACCTATATCAACATAGGCAAGAATCATGTAAAAAAAAAAGAAGATCTTTGACCTTGTACAACTTATTCTATCTTGACGAGTAGTCCATCCAGCATGATGGAGCCCCGCTCCTTTGTTGACCACTCAAGTTCATTGTTGCTAATTTTGGGATCAATTTGTTCATTAACACCGAGTGACTGAGGTCCCACCTTGTACGACCCCGGTTTCAGCCACACCTGGAATGCCACCCGTACATGATATGTCTTCCTGGTCTTCGGGTCCACCATTCTGTACAGATAAATGTAGATATAGCAGGGGGGTTCAATATCGTCATTAAATATCAATTTGATTTTAGATAATTCCCCTCTTACAAGTGCAGCACTTGAACCAACTGTTTCAAGCTTGTTCATTAGTTTGTTTGCCCGTTAACGTTGAGCCTTTTGAGATATCGGATCATATCTGCTTTTAATAATCAAGAAGATATCTTTAAAATTCAGCTTAATATATTGCATGTTCGGTTATAATACATTTTTACAAAGACTCTGGTTCCAATGGAGTAAAGAATGAACTTAAATGAATTGGATGTCACAGCCTAAATCACAGTCTGGGACCATGGTAAACTGTTTTAATACTCTAACCCTTTGCTGGTTAGACAACCTCAGTGGTCTATGACCTCGATCAATAATTAGTTCTGCGGTGGTAGACTACGTTTAATCACAGATTACCCACAGCCAGTTGACTATTTCAGTTGTCAGCTTCAATGTTTGACTAATTGCCCGAGGCAGTACCTGTTGCTGGCAGGAAAGTTACCTATTTCTAGAAAAGAGAATTACCTATATTTTGGAGAGAACTCATTGCAGCCTGCATATCTGATGGTGGGGGAGAGAAATATCTGTTTGAGACCACAACCATCAGGACTGGATTTCTCTGTGACAGGTACAGGCTGGGGGAGAAGTATGCTTCCTCCTGTTGCAATTTCACCTATAACATACAACAGCACATCATTCTTAATGTTATTTTGGTTACATCACAATTGGTTCTTTTTAAAGACTTCCATTTCTTTGTCCTGATTCCTAACAATAAAAATAATCAAAATATCATCATGGAAAGGATTTATTTATCTTTCACAGATCAAATTGATAATTTCTGTTTGATTCAGTGCATTCACTAACATGCAGTAACATGCAGTAACATGCAGTAATTTTGCAATATTTTGAGTATTTTTTTTTCAAGTCAAATCACTTCTATTAAGCTTACATGACATTGGTAATAACATGTCTTATAGAGTTGTCTGCCCTTACCCACAGCATGAAGATCTCCACTGTCGAGAATTCTTCGTACAGCTTCCATCCGGGCCCCATAATAACCAACATGCCACTTCTCAGCAATATTTAATGCATTTGCTTTGTTTAGTAACCTGTAAAAAGCAAAAGTATTTATATACACACAAGTTTATGAATTGTAAATAAGTACATCTGAAGAGGTTATGAAATTAGTGATGGTTAAAATCTAAATTTCAGAATTTTAACAGAATATTATATTTAATTAAATAGTCTGTGTTTAGATAACTGAATTTTGTGTTTATTCATTAGTCAACAAAGTGGATTTTACTGTATATATAATCCTCCAAAAACACCAGAAGGACTGTCGAAATTCAACAGATCAGATGTAAGTAACAAAGGCTTAGAGATTCAAAACATAAAACTTAATTCAAGGTTTAAAGACTCTCACCTAATAGAGAATCTGCACCAGCCGTAGGGTAGAGCATACTCCCGAGGAGGGTCCCCACGCTTGTGGTACACCTCCTCCCGTCTGATCTTATGACACGTTTCACAAAAACACACGTTACTCTGCACATCAAAGTAATTTTCTGTAAAATAAAACAGAAAAATGTACAGTGTATTACATCTAATACCTAAATGTCCAATAAAGGTTTCATTAACTATTGATTAACTAACCTGGCAGTCCCAGTTGAGATTTGATCCTGGAACAGATATTCTGGTATTCACAGTTCCTAGTGGTGTTAACATCGCTACTCACACGGTGTAACTTCTCTTTAACCACTGAAATATAAATTATATCATAAACAGAAGGGAGATAACTCGTATCAAACTCCATACAGTGCATCACATCACAACGCATTTCAGAGCTGACCGTCAAAGGATTGTAAAATCCTAACTTTGTAAAAAAAAAAAAAAAAAAAAACCTTATACAAGATAATTTCATTGTTATAAATATAGCTTTGAGCACAACCCAATTGCGAGAAATGTTTCAAGATATTTCAAGAAACTCTCTTATCTGGCTACATTAATCTATTTAATTATATAATGTGATCTGGTATAAACTAAACTTAACAATGTTCCATCATAATAAAGATCTCACCATCATCAATGTCTGCCTTTTCTCGCTCGTCAACTGTGCTGATTGGAGATGACACGCTTGTGTCCTCCATAACAACTGTGATCTGTACCAAATGATAATATGTATCAATTTTTATTAACAATGTAAGCTGGTTTGAAATCAGTTAAAATGATCTGGTAAATTGTAAATATTATTTTGGTAAGACAATCTGAAACGTGACAAAAACAAGCCAATTCGTGTAATTATATCCTGCGCTTTCAGGACATATTGTTGGTTAACATTATTGAGGTTAGGTTTAAACATGTGAGTATCGTGCTGTTGAGACATAATGTATAGCTTGAAACTTGAGGAAAAAATAAAACCTATACCTCATTGATTATCCGTAAATATGCACAAATCACATCGGTTGGCAAACTTTGCATGAGTCGGATGTGCATACAGAATTTGGTTGAAACATCTGAACAATATCTACAGCAATTATCACACAAAAACCACAGAGTGCCCGAGATGGGTGGAAAGCCAGAGGGGCCATAACTCTGCCAAATGGAGTCTGATTAAAGTGGTTGTCAAACTTGGCCAAGCCCTTAATGCGTTGAACCCTGTTACTGAGTTTAAAGACAATCGGATAATATTTGATAGAGTTAATGAACAGAAACGGGCGAACTTGGCCGAGCCCTTAAGGCATTTAACCCTGTGAAAATGTTGGAAGAAAATCGGTTAACATTTGTTGTAGTTACTGCACGGAAACAAAACGCAGCAGATAATGACATTTTTCCTTATTCAAGGGGCCATAACTCCGCTGAAAGTGGTCATCAAACTTGGCCGAGCCCTTGAGGCATTTAACCCTGTGACCAAGTTGGAAGAAAATTGGTTAATATGTGTTGTAGTTATTGCAGACAAATGGACAAACCCAAATTAATATCCCCCCGTTTCGGTGAAAGCGGGGGATAATTAGTAGTCTTCACCAAAACATGTAGGATCTGAGAAGCTAATTTTAAGTTGTTGACATTGACATGAGTTTGTATATTGTTTAATTTTTATACTACACCCCAGTGTAGCAAGTGTCCCACAATGAGGAGCATAGTGAAAAGAAACTCCTCACCATCCCATTATTCAGTGAACATTTATGAGATTCTTTTAAAGTTTTTGTACTATGTAACTGGAACTGCTTATGGCACTTACCCCCCTTCTCCTCCTCAGAATCTAACCAATGATTTCTAGGGTGAAGTTGAAATAAGACCTTGAGTTCAGGTCCTTGAAATTGATGTACTAAAATATTGAGTACTTGTATTAAGTATAATCCACACCGAAAGATAAATGATGCCAACAGAGCAATGATAAAGGTTTTCTATTTGCAGCAGTGAATTCACTACCTCAATAACCAAGCATGAAATTTTTTTATGTTCTGATTTCTAACATTATATCCTCTATTTATTACTAATCTTCTGTACCTACCTCCTGACACTGGCCGTACAGATCAATAAGAGCGAAACAAGGGTTGGGGACGTCCCGAGCTGCCACGCCCTGATCCACCCCATTAACGTACAAGTGAAGACACGCCTCCTCGTCTACTAACACGCCCACACAATGGCCTGACTGAAGCCGGTCAATGTTTGGGCCATAATGCTCCTTCACCTGTAACAGGTACATTACCAATAGTAATTACACATGTTTTTCATTAATTTAGGAAAACAAGACATAGTTTGTTGAATTTGTTTTACCAATTTTTATTTACAACTGATCTTTACAGTTCACTTGACTATTTCATACTTTTTTATGGATTTATTTTCTAATGAATACAGACCGAACAAGTAAACTATCAATGAGGTTCCAATACTGTAATTATAGCAATAACATATTTGAGGAAGGCAATATTGTAGGCATTAACACAAAAGAAACTGATTCCAAAAGGGGCCAACATTGCTGATTTTGCACCATGATGCAGTAATAATCTCTCCCTGGACCTGGCAGTCAACACCCTACCTTGCAGCCACAGTTGTATACGGAGTCCCCCTGGATAATCATACACAACTTTTTAATACAGATGGCCGACACAGGAAAGTTGTACCGATCTGGTGAGAAGCCTAACACTCCTATCATCAGTGATGCACTCCACATCGAGTTGAGGCTATTTAGCCGCACCTGCAAGAAAACAAATTGTTAATGCTCTTAATGAATATTGTGATTTTGAGATGGAGTATGAAAAAAGAAATTGTTAAATATAACAGCAGAGAAGACGGATATTTGCACCTTTTCATCCCAAAGCTACATGCCATTTTATCCATTCTGAATGCAGATGAAACTTTTCATTAATTGTAAGTAGATAGCTGTTGAATACCATAAACTCCTTTGAGATGACAAAAAGGTATGTTAAACAAAATCATTGTTATCATCTTCATGATGAAGACAGTCCTTAAATATTCAAGCCGGATGTGATGCAGAAATATTCCGCTAAACGAATGCACTTGGACCGAACTGTAGGCAGAGCTAAAAAGAAAAGGCACAGTTTCTGAGTTTCTTGACAAATAAATAACAATATTCAAGAATAAAATGTCCTTCTTTCAAGTGTCCTCTTTATAATATATCCAAAAATATCCTAGGTGAATCAACCTTGTTTTATAAAGAAATACTACAAACAAGCAATAGTCAGCATTTTAGTTTTGGTCAGACCTGTCTAGACTCATCAATATGCATGTGCTCAATATCCCTGAGGTCAGCCTTACTCAGATCTATAGTACCTGTCTGCAGATAACAAATTCAAAAGAAGTGTTAACCGTTACCTGGAAGAGTTTGTTGCGTTGTAATGGTCGACTAGATACGAGGATGCCCTGGTTATAGCTAGCTGTCCGCCGGGCTGTTAGGTTGTTGTTGCTAAGGAGGACATTTTTACCATGGTTACAGTGGAATTCAAAACTACAACATGTGTTAGTGTCCTGATCCTGGTCACGTTCAGTCTGAAATAAAACATAACACCAAATAAGTCTCATCTCAGTCTCAGATGTAGTAAGCTGGTGGAGATTTTGAAGCTTCACTTATCTGATTGTAACTTGGAATATGTCAAAAACACTGAAGAGCATTGTGGTACAATCTATAAGCCCACCTCCAGAAACAAAGGTAAAAGATTCTAAATTAGATACAACAATAACTCCATATACCAGCTTTGGGAGTTTCTCAGGGTTGTAGAACAGGTGTTAAGTATGGACTGAAGAACTCTCAAAACTAGAGCTGTCGCCAAGGGCTGACTAATACCCCAACTTCTGCCAAGTTATGTTTGAGAGTTATACTTAGCAGGATAAATAATGTTTTTGCTAAAGGGGCAGAACTCCATCAAAAAGGGTTGAAATCCCAAATTAAAATGCTGGTGCACAACTACATAAGATAGTGATCATTCATGCAAAGTTTCGATTATCCCCCCCCCCCCCCTAACTTCGTTGCGCGGGTATAATGAATCTACTCTTCATGATTGTCACTCTGTCATTTACCTGTACACAACTTTTAGTGGTTAGGGTTAGGGTTAGGGTTAGGGTTAAAGTTAAAGTAAAAGTACAGAAATTGTGTTCCTGGTTTCTACTTACCTCATTGTTATCTGTGACGTCAGACATGACACTCTGTGAGTACTACACTACAAACTATCTACGTACCTCATTGTTATCTGTGACGTCTGACACGACATTCTGTGACTACTACACTCCAAACTATCTACTTACCTCATTGTTATCTGTGACACCTGACACAACACTCTGTGACTGCTGCCTCAGTATCATCAGGTTGTCTGTGGAGACACTACAACCTATCTACTTACCTCATGGTTATCTGTGACGTCTGACACGACACTCTGTGACTGCTAACTCAGTATCATCAGGTTGTCTGTGGAGACACTACAACCTATCTACTTACCTCATGGTTATCTGTGACGTCTGACACGACACTCTGTGACTGCTAACTCAGTATCATCAGGTTGTCTGTGGAGACACTACAACCTATCTACTTACCTCATGGTTATCTGTGACGTCTGACACGACACTCTGTGACTACTGACTCAGTATCATCAGGGTGTCTGTGGAGACACTACAAACTATCTACGTACCTCATTGTTATCTGTGACGTCTGACACAACACTCTGTGACTACTGACTCAGTATCATCAGGTTGTCTTTGGAGACACTACAAACTATCTACTTACCTCATTGTTATCTGTGACACCTGACACAACACTCTGTGACTGCTGACTCAGTATCATCAGGTTGTCTGTGGAGACACTACAAACTATCTACGTACCTCATTGTTATCTGTGACGCCTGACACAACACTCTGTGACTACTGACTCAGTATCATCAGGTTGTCTGTGGAGACACTACAAACTATCTGCTTACCTCATTGTTATCTGTGACGTCTGACATAACACTCTGTGACTGCTGACTCAGTATCATCAGGTTGTCTGTGGAGACACTACAAACTATCTACTTACCTCATTGTTATCTGTGACGCCTGACACGACACTCTGTGACTACTACACTACAAACTATCTACTTACCTCATTGTTATCTGTGACGTCTGACACAACACTCTGTGACTGCTGACTCAGTATCATCAGGTTATCTGTGGAGGCACTGCTGGTTACGGACACCGTCTCCACAACGCCAAATAGGTCAATCACCGCAAACACATTCTGTAGATCAAGGTCATTTCATAGTAATGTTGATATTTGCAGTAATTTCATATCAAAGACTCTGGTTATGTTCATTAATTACTAGTTTGATGCTATAGAACAACATCTAACGACTGTTAATTTATCAATTGTTTTTTGAAAACCTGTAAAAAGTTTGAGACAATATTTTACTATTAATTATCTCTTTTTTATGCCTATAAATTTTAGATAATTCAAGATCAAAATTGAGTTAGGTGTCATCTACCTATAAACATAAGCCGGTTTCGTTTATTGTGATCTAAATGTTTGGACTTGTTAGACCAGAGTTGTTCATTTATGAAATAAGGTTGGACCTAGTAATATGATGCTGATTTCAGGCAAGCCTTGACAAAGCCTTGCAAGGCCTGCATAAACATTTGCAGGTCTGCCAGGATTTATTTCCGGAAATGTAAGGTTTAACAAGAGGCCCAATGGGCCTGCATCGCTCACCTGGTATTAATCTCACACTTTTAATCTTAAAAGTGGACTAAAATACAGCTACAGGCAGAATATCAGTGTTTGATTCATAAGAACCTATTAAAAGATTTAAACATATGACGCCTGTGACCTTGAATGTTGAACCAGGACATTAGGTTGAAAGTGGGCCAAGGTCATTCATTTGACGAACTTGGTAGCCCTTCATCCCAGCAAGCTATAGGCCCAATATCAGTATCCTGAGCCTTTTGGTTATTGAGAAGAAGTTGTTTGAAGATTTTATGACATTTTACCCCTGTGACCTTGAAAGTGGGTCAAGGTCATTCATTTGAACAAACTTGGTAGTCCTTCACTTCAGCATGCTACATGCCCAATATCAGTACCCTAGGCCTTTTGGTTATTGAGAAGAAGTTGTTTAAAGATTTAAAGACATTTGACCCCTGTGACCTTGAAAGTTGGTCAAGGTCATTCATTTGAACAAACTTGGTAGCCTTTCATCACAGCATGCTACAGGCCCAATATCATCACCCTAGGCCTTTTGGTTATTGAGAAGTTTGTTGAAGATTTTAAGACATTTGACCCCTGTGACCTTGAAAGTGGGTCAAGGTCATTCATTTGAACAAATCTGGTAGCCCTTCATTCCAGCATGCTACTGGCCAAATATCATCACCCTAGGCCTTTTGGTTATTGAGAAGAAGTTGTTTAAAGTAAAATATTGACGCCAGACACCGGACGGACGGACCACGGCATAAGCTCACTTGGCCCTTTGGGCCAGGTGAGCTAAAAACAAACAAATAGGTTGTTCTGCATAAAGGAACAGGCCCAAGTTCTTACGTTAACGTCATTACCAGGGAATACAGGACTGCTTTTGCTTATATTGTTCCAAACAGTTTGACAGGTTGGACCAGAGTTGTTCATTAAGAAATAGAGACTGACCTAGTGATCAACTTTTGGTTTTGAGCAAGCTTTGACAAAGACTTTCAAGGCATGCACTAATTATATTTTACAGATCCATCAAGATTTTCCTTTAAAAATAAGCAAACTGGTTGGTCTGCATAAACCAATAGGCCCTATGTATCTTAATTCAGAATTTTTTACTTTCATTTAAAACATTTACAAATCTATGATGATGAATGGCCATGTAATACATGTGAACTCTGACCTTTTGTATATTGGAGGCTGCTACTCCTAAATCCTCCCCATTCAGTAATATATGCATTGTACCGTCCCGACATCTCTTTACACCAACCTTGTCGCCTACCTATAATACACAAAACAAATTGGTACAGTAATATATAATTAACGCAGTCAATTAAAATAATTTATCAACTTCCAGCGTCATATGATCAGCAGTATTGATTAACTGATGTCATCTTAATTTTGTGAAGTCTCTACTTTTTGGCAATTTTTTGCTTTCGCAATTGTGCTTCAATTTTTTGCTATCATAAAGATTAAATAAAATCAGTAGTATAAGATATTTGAATTCATGATAGTTTGTCCTTCACAATTAACACAAGATGTATCCACACAACATTCAACTGGTTTACTGTATGAAAGTGAAAAACAAATTCAGTCAGAATCAATATCTACAGAATCTGTTATTCCCTCACCTCTAATCGTTCTAATGAAGGGGCATAGTTTTCCTTGATGACAACCCCCGATTTTCTGACCTCCGAACTTGTAACAATCCAGGTCAACTTTGTGGTCAAAGCAAGTGCAGATGAAGGAATGGATGAGATGGGAGTGGTGTCCGAGATGGCCAGAGTGGTCAGTCCGATGTGAAGTGACCCCGACCATACCTTTGACAACTGTTCCACTTTTATCTGTAAATGGATATAAAACCAAGCTATGTCAGTTCAGGTAAACTGAAGCATGGCTGTCCAGTGCCACTTTTGTGTCTCAACAGACATATAAAACTAGGCAAGGTGACGGTCTTGTTTGTTTTAGTATTTATAAACAGAGAAAAACATGTATCCTACTTCAATGAACAGTGTATGCAGTTTTCCTTGAATGACTTGGTAAGGATATCAAAACAAGGTATAGTTTGTAAAAATCTTATTACATATTCTACTGAATGTCAGCAGCTACGTATACCCAGTCAACAGTATAACTGCATGTAAATTACATAATGGTAACTAACTTCAAATAGTTCGTCTCGTCTCAATGGATCAGAACTGAAGATGAGTCCATGTTGGAAGTTGCGTGCTCGACAAGCCATGGCCCCGTTGTTTTTAATGGTTATGTTTTTCCCACAACAGTGACTGAACCTGTGGGTGATATCTGTAGACAAAAATAGATACTTATTAAATAACATCCTAACATTTTCGTTACCGAAACATATTTCAAGATTAACCAATTTTAATCTAATGAGTAGATACTTCTGAGTCCCAATCTTGTTCCTGAACCTGGGATTGCAACTGCTGAATACTAACATTTTTTCTCATGATTAGGAGAATTCTCCTTTACATTTAATACAAAAATCAAACAGGATATAAATATAAAGTAAAATGTCGCCACCTTACCTGTATTTACAGGTGAGACTACAGACTGTACTATATCTGTATGTAGTAGGTTATTGTCTGTAGGTAGTATGTCAAACTTACATGTATTTACAGGTGAGACAACAGACTGTAATGTATCTGTATGTAGTTGGTTATTGTCTGTAGGTAGTATGTCAAACTTACCTGTATTTACAGGTGAGACTACAGATTGTACCATCTCTGTATGTAGTAGGTTATTGTCTGTAGGTAGTATGTCAAACTTACCTGTATTTACAGGTGAGACTACAGACTGTACCATCTCTGTATGTAGTAGGTTATTGTCTGTAGGTAGTATGTCAAACTTACCTGTATTTACAGGTGAGACTACAGACTGTACCATCTCTGTATGTAGTAGGTTATTGTCTGTAGGTAGTATGTCAAACTTACCTGTATTTACAGGTGAGACTACAGACTGTACCATCTCTGTATGTAGTAGGTTATTGTCTGTAGGTAGTATGTCAAACTTACCTGTATTTACAGGTGAGACTACAGACTGTACCATCTCTGTATGTAGTAGGTTATTGTCTGTAGGTAGTATGTCAAACTTACCTGTATTTACAGGTGAGACTACAGACTGTACCATCTCTGTATGTAGTAGGTTATTGTCTGTAGGTAGTATGTCAAACTTACCTGTATTTACAGGTGAGACTACAGACTGTACCATCTCTGTATGTAGTAGGTTATTGTCTGTAGGTAGTATGTCAAACTTACCTGTATTTACAGGTGAGACTACAGACTGTACCATCTCTGTATGTAGTAGGTTATTGTCTGTAGGTAGTATGTCAAACTTACCTGTATTTACAGGTGAGACTACAGACTGTACCATCTCTGTATGTAGTAGGTTATTGTCTGTAGGTAGTATGTCAAACTTACCTGTATTTACAGGTGAGACTACAGATTGTACCATCTCTGTATGTAGTAGGTTATTGTCTGTAGGTAGTATGTCAAACTTACCTGTATTTACAGGTGAGACAACAGATTGTACCATCTCTGTATGTTGTAGGTTATTGTCTGTAGGTAGTATATGTCAAACTTACCTGTATTTACAGGTGAGACTACAGATTGTACAATCTCTGTATGTAGTAGGTTATTGTCTGTAGGAAGTATACATCAAACTTACCTGTATTTACAGGTGAGACTACAGATTGTCCCATCTCTGTATGTAGTAGGTTATTGTCTGTAGGAAGTATACATCAAACTTACCTGTATTTACAGGTGAGACTCCAGATTGTACCATCTCTGTATGTAGTAGGTTATTGTCTGTAGGTAGTATGCCAGACCCGCTTGTTATCGACACCTGAGCACATTGACCATACAAGTCGATCACAGCTGACACACCTGTTGGGGTAAACAAGTCGTTACATTAATGGACCCAACATTCAAACCATATCCATTCAATTTGGAAATTTTCACAACAAAATATGCCGTGAAGAATGACACCAAAGTTAGAGTTTTTATTTAGATGAGTGTGTAGTACTTTACCATTAAAACATCTTGTCATAATTAGGAAAGATATCCGGCAGAATGCACAGAAAAATCAGCTTTTAATATGTTAATTGTCAATGCATACATTCTGCTGATCTTCTCACATGACATACATCTTCCAACTATGCTCCTGCTTACAAAGTAGTATATCCATTTTATCATATTTACAGCAGGCATGGTGCAGAATGTCAAATCACTCTTATCATCTTTAAACTCAGTCTCCTACTCCCTTATATACATGTATATCCTGCCCATTAAGTTTCCATAAAAACTGATAATTCGTATAGTCATTGAGCAATTTTTGTAATTGATGAATGGACAGATGGATGTCATGTCTTAATAGGACCTTTTCAGAAAAGGGTGTAGCACCTAACAAAAAGGTCTTGAACTTGACCTTGAACCTAAAACCCTGAAACACAAATTTCTTTGAGGTATTTGTGTACGTACAGAATACCCGACTTAGATTGCAAAGTGAACAGAGTATAGCAACCCTGTCCTAGTGGAATGGACCGAAGTAAGCTCAGATATAGATAATGCTATATACACCCACCCATTACATGGAAGGACTGCCCTAGTGGAATGGACCGAAGTAAGCTCAGATATAGATAATGCTATATAAACCCACCCATTACATGGAAGGACTGCCCTAGTGGAATTGACAGAAGTAAGCTCAGATATAGATAATGCTATATACACCCACCCATTACATGGAAGGACAATAAAAATGATATATACATGATGAAACTAAACAATAGAAAGACATTCTGATTCAAACAAGTGATAAGGTAAAGGGAGGTAACAAACCTTGGGGAACGTCGGAGCAGGCTACGCCCTGGTCCATTCCATTGAAGTAGTAGTGTAATGTGCCGTCACAGCACCTCATCATCCCAATACGACAGCCAACCGCCATGATGTCGAGGTCGAGAGGATATCCGTTACGGATGGTTGAACCGTCCTGCATGATAGCGGAGCCACTGAAGACAAATTAACAAATGTTCTTATGAATATCCTGGAATCCAAGTACTGAATTTCAGGTTTGAACAATATGATTCAATTAAAGCAACATCGTCTGAAAAAACTGATTTAACACAAAACTTATGTCACAAGTATGATTTCTGAGATAACACGATTAAAAGCGGGTTTTTTTCATTTCTAAATCAATGATAAAGTTTTGAATTGCAATTTAGTATTTCAAACAATATATATCCCTAACAGTTCTTTTAGTAGACACTTGACAATTAGTAATTATATCACTGTGGAATTATTTAATTAGCTATTTAGGTATCAAGTGATTATTTAGCTATGTAGGTATCTAGTGATTATTTAGTTGTATTAATTAGCTATTTAGGTATCTAGTGATTATTTAGCTATATTAATTAGTTATGCAGTCATCTAGTGATTATTTAGCTATATTAATTAGCTATTTAGGTATCTAGTGATTATTTAGCTATATAGATTAGCTATTTAGGTGTCTAGTGATTATTTAGCTATATTAATTAGCTATGTAGGTATCTAGTGATTATTTAGCTATATTAATTAGCTATTTATGTATCACGTGATTATTTAGCTATATTAATTAGCTATGTAGGTATCTAGTGATTATTTAGCTATATTAATTAGCTATGTAGGTATCTAATAATCATTAAGCTATATTAATTAGCTATTTAGGTATCTAGTGATTATTTAGCTATATTAATTAGCTATTTAGGTACCTAGTGATTATCTAGCTATATTAATTAGCTATGTAGGTATCTAGTGATTATCTAGCTATAATAATTAACTATTGAGGTATCTATTGATTATTTAGCTATATTAATTAGCTATGTAGGTATCTAGTGATTATTTAGCTATATTAATTAGCTATGTAGGTATCTAGTGATTATTTAACTATATTAATTAGCTATGCAGGCATCTAGTGATTATTTAACTAAATTAATTAGCTATGTAGGCACCTAGTGATTATTTAGTTATATTAATTAGCTATTTAGGTATCAAGTGATTATTTAGCTATATTAATTAGCTATTTAGGTATCGAGTGATTATTTAGCTACATTAATTAGCTATGTAGATATCTAGTGATTATTTATCTATATTAATTAGCTATGTAGGTATCAAGTGATTATTTAGCTATATTAATTAGCTATTCAGATATATAGTGATTATTTAGCTATATTAATTAGCTATGTAGGTATCTAGTGATTATTTAGCTATATTAATTAGCTATTTAGGTATCAAGTGATTATTTAGCTTTGTAGGTACCTAGTGATTATTTAGCTATATTTATTAGTTACCACAGAAAACATCTCCAAGGAAAGAAACAAATACACTTCATTTGGAAGTTTATTCAAAACAATTGCCAAGTTATATATTTACAAATTTCATGTAATTATGTTCCTTTTAAGGGAATGAATAAGACACAATATCCTTTCACTTATATATACTTACTTAAGTATCTAAGCATCATACTCAATATCTGTCATGGTATTAGGAAAGTCTACTTACCTAAGTATCCAGGTATCATACTCAATATCTGTCATTGTGTTAGGAAAGTCTACTTACCTAAGTATACAGGTATCATACTCAATATCTGTCATGGTATTAGGAAAGTCTACCTACTTAAGTATCCAAGTATCATACTCAATATCTGTCATGGTATTAGGAAAGTCTACTTACCTAAGTATCCAGGTATCATACTCAATATCTGTCATGGTATTAGGAAAGTCTACTTACCTAAGTATCCAGGTATCATACTCAATATCTGTCATGGTGTTAGGAAAGTCTACTTACCTAAGTATCCAGGTATCATACTCAATATCTGTCATGGTGTTAGGAAAGTCTAGGTCCTCAGCCTTGATAAGGGTCACACCTTGAAAGATACATAACGTATACTTTTACCATGTTTTCACATAAATCTGCTGAGGCCAAATGAAACTCTCAGTTTCTTATTACTGTGAAACAAAACTGGTATCAATTGGTTGTTTAAGCAAACCATTCATTATCTGAACATTATTTATCTGTAAAAGATTACAATATTTTTTTTCAGTGAATATCAAAAGCATGCCCAAAAAATCAGGATTGTATCTCAAATAAAGGTTAAAATCTGATCATTATTATTTCTGGTTTTAACGTACTTGATATTTTTCATTAATTTTCTCAAAGCATGAATCTGAATTAATTATGCAATTATAATACATTCTGACAAATATGAAAGCTCAGTTAAAACCTTTACGTTAGAAATCAATCTTAGAGTTAACTAAAATCTACATTTATCATATTAAGAAATACTAAAAAGAAGAAAATAAAACAAGGACTTGTCTCTGTTTGTGCATGTTGCCCTTAACTCACCTTGTCAAAATCTTAAACCTTGACTTGACAGTGAATATAATAGCTACAATCTTCTATGGGATCTGAGATCTATTTCCTTACCAGCTTCTATAGATCCTGACCATCTATCCACCATTTTTTCTATGATCACTTCAAACAGTTCGTTATCTTTGAGTGGGCGGTTACTCATGATGATGGCGTCATTGAATTCCCCCGTGGCATTGGGTCGAGCTGCTGTTCGTCCATTGTTAAGGACAATGGCGTTCTGGCCATGCATGGTGTGGAATTTTAGTTCCTCGGTCTCCAGGGCACAACTTGAATCAGCATCAGGTGAACACAGGGATTCTGTAACAGTGTTTTATATATTAATGAGAAGGAATGTTCAAAGAATGTCGGCTAAATCTTACAATAAGGATTTGAAGCACACACAGGTTGTAAGGATGCAGCAATGTAACATTAGGACGACCCAGATCCAGCCACCAAACACCAAAATTCTACAGCCAAACTTCCTTAGTTATCACTTTGCTAACAACAAATTCCACAGCCAAACTTCCTTAGTTATGACTTTGTAACAACAAATTCTACAGCCAAACTTCCTTAAACATCACTTTGCTAACAACAAATTCCACAGTCAAACTTCCTTAGATATCACTTTGTAACAACAAATTCTACAGCCAAACTTCCTTAGCTATGACTTTGCTATCAACAAATTCCACAGCCAAACTTCCTTAGTTATGACTTTGTAACAACAAATTCCAAAGCCAAACTTCCTTAGTTATCACTTTGCTAACAACAATTTCCACAGCCAAACTTCCTTAGTTATCACTTTGTAACAACAAATTCTACAGCCAAACTTCCTTATTATGACTTTGCTAACAACAAATTCCACAGCCAAACTTCCTTAGTTATGACTTTGTAACAACAAATTCCAAAGCCAAACTTCCTTAGTTATGACTTTGTAATAACAAATTCCACAGCCAAACTTCCTTAGTTATGAATTTGCTAACAACAATTTCCACAGCCAAACTTCCTTAGTTATGACTTTGCAACAACAAATTCCAAAGCCAAACTTCCTTAGTTATTACTTTGTAACAACAAATTCCAAAGCCAAACTTCCTTATTTATCACTTTGCTAACAACAATTTCCACAGCCAAACTTCCTTAGTTATGACTTTGTTACAACAAATTCCAAAGCCAAACTTCCTTAGTTATGACTTTGTAACAACAAATTCCACATCCAAACTTCCTTAGTTATCACTTTGCTAACAACAATTTCCACAGCCAAACTTCCTTAGTTATGACTTTGTAACAACAAATTCTACAGCCAAACTTCCTTAAATATCACTTTGCTAACAACAAATTCTACAGCCAAACTTCCTTAGTTATCACTTTGTAACAACAAATTCTACAGCCAAACTGCCTTATTATGACTTTGCTAACAACAAATTCCACAGCCAAACTTCCTTAGTTATCACTTTGCAACAACAAATTCTACAGCCAAACTTCCTTATTATGACTTTGGTAACAACAAATTCCACAGCCAAACTTCCTTAGTTATGAATTTGCTAACAACAATTTCCACAGCCAAACTTCCTTAGTTATGACTTTGTTACAACAAATTCCAAAGCCAAACTTCCTTAGTTATCACTTTGCTAAAAACAATTTCCACAGCCAAACTTCCTTAGTTATCACTTTGTAACAACAAATTCCACAGCCAAACCTCCTTAGTTATGACTTTGTAACAACAAATTCCACATCCAAACTTCCTTAGTTATCACTTTGCTAACAACAAATTCCCCAGCCAAACTTCCTTAGTTATCACTTTGCTAACAAAAAATTCCACAGCCAAACTTCCTTAGTTATGACTTTGTTACAACAAATTCCAAAGCCAAACTTCCTTAGTTATCACTTTGCTAACAAAAAATTCCACAGCCAAACTTCCTTAGTTATGACTTTGTAACAACAAATTCCACAGCCAAACTTCCTTAGTTATCACTTTGTAACAACAAATTCCACAGCCAAACTTCCTTAGTTATCACTTTGTAACAACAAATTCCACAGCCAAACCTCCTTAGTTATGACTTTGTAACAACAAATTCCACATCCAAACTTCCTTAGTTATCACTTTGCTAACAACAAATTCCCCAGCCAAACTTCCTTAGTTATCACTTTGCTAACAACAAATTCCCCAGCCAAACTTCCTTAGTTATCACTTTGCTAACAACAAATTCCACAGCCAAACTTCCTTAGTTGTGACTTTGCTAACAACAAATTTTACATTTTTGAGATGATCTATCTAGGAAAGCTGTATTTATAGTGTACAAGATAGAATAAATATGTATATAAACAATCATTTCATCTGTCCACATCATAAATGCTATGTATTTCATGTTGTAAATTTCATCATCAGACTACCTACTCTCACTTTCCCTAAAACAGTCCATCAAAATAAATTAACATTCATGATTATAATAATAATAATAATAATAATAATAATATACAACATTTATATAGCGCCCTATATAATTTGTAAAATTACTCTAAAGCTTGACCTTCAGATCAAATGTGTAACAATTTTTATCATATTTGTGCAAATCAAAACTTTAAACATTAAAACAATGCTTCTACACATTAACAGTGCCAGGGAATAATTCAATATATATTCACCTGCCACAATTTTGTACAAAATTATGATCATGTAAGTAAAATAAAGAAACCCTGTAAATCTGAGTTTCATTCTGATCAGAAGGGAAAACAAAGGCTTTATGAGATTACAGCTTGTGGTTGAGTTAGACCTACCTGAGTGGTCAACCACAGTAGCCTGTGCTGCCTGTCCATACAGGTCAATGACTCCATACACCAACTCCGGGACATTGGTGGCGGCCTGGCCTTGATCTGTACCGTTAACATAGAAGTGGAGTGTCCCGTCCGTCTTCCTTCTCACACCCACACGGTCTCCAGTCTATACATGTAGAAAAACACAAACTGTGATTCAGTACAAACTATCTATAACTACTGTTTTTATGTTGCCATAAACGGAGACTGCGTACTATGACTGTCACTGGATCACCCTGGTTTCATTATTGTCAGTTGTAGACAGATTACATCTTGTACAAACTTCACATAGTATATGAAGTATACTGGAAGATTTTAATTTCATTTCGCATTGATGAAGTTTGCTGGAACACACAAATATTATCCATAAGAAGGATATTAATCTATTTAGTACAACTGTAATGCAATGATTTAAATCTGAGTCACCATGCATGGACCCAAGACAAATTCTGTTAGAAAATATAAAATATAAAGATGTTTTTGTCTTTTCCTGCCTAGTCAATGAGGTTGGATTCTCAGCTAATCAAATGTTGTGACTCAAATCCTCTGTCGAATCCCACTTGTGCAACAATCTTTTCACCTGTTCTTGACTAAAAGCATTTTGAAAGAAAAGTTGATAACAGACTGCATATTATTGTATAAGCTAATTTGGCCATAGGGGCAGGTGAGCGAAAAAGTCCCACTACCTAATGATGGTAGGCAAATCTAAAATTCAAGTTTCATTTCAAAGAATGTCTTCCTACCTTGAGCCTGTCCAGATTTTGTCCATACTCATCAATGATGGTCGTGCCATTGTGCATCACACCGTTTCCCGTCATCATCCAGGTACCAGATCGGATGTTGGTCATGGTAGAGGGAAAGTCAAGATCATGTGGGGAGTGCAAGGTCACCCCTATTTCTATTGACCCTGCCCACTTGTCAATCATTCTGTCTATCCGTACTTCAAACAGTTCCTCTGGTCGTAAGTGTCTGCTTGTCAGGACCACACCATTGTTAAAATCATCTAAGGCACTGTATACAAATATCATAGTGTTCATGATACATCTATGTCAATGTGAAAAATTTACATCGTTATTGATGATACACTAAATATCCAGATCACAGTGTTTGAGATATACTGTATGCCATATATAGTCAGGGTATAATACTAATTTTGGTTTAATACTGAAAAATATGATACACAATATGTTTCTATTTTAACTTTAAATCTCCACAAAAATCTTCAATGGTCACATCATAGATGCAAATTGGCTTATGGACAAAAAGCAAAAAATTAGATCTTTTTTGGGGGGAAATTATTTCACAAATTTGCATTAAAATTTTCAAAAATACTGACAATATTCGCCTCTGTCACATATTACTTGACTTACTTGGGTCTATGGGCTGTTTTTTGACCGCTTATGACTGCTGCGTGAGAGCCACAGTGCGGGTGAAATAGGAGCTTTTCCACACATCCCTCTTCCTCAGCTGCAAAATATGATATGAATAGAAATTAATATAATCAATATCCTCCTTACAGAACAGCTACTGAGGTTTTAGCAGACAATATCCCCTACAAAAACTTGATGATAGAATAACATTGTCTCCATGTCATATATTACATGTACATACAAACTTCAATGTATGTAGGTTAAAAATGTTTGATTGGTCCAACAGGACTCATTGACTTACATATAACTGTAGTGGGCCATGGCCAGAGTACAATCATTGTCCAGTTAGCTCAACTAACACGCCAGAGTATATTGATTGGAGGTCCAGCTAGCTCAACTAACACGCCAGACAGTATATTGATTGGAGGTCCAGTTAGGTCAAATAACACGCCAGACAGTATATTGATTGGAGGACCAGGGCTCCACTAACACGCCAGACAGTATATTGATAGGAGGTCCAGGACTCCACTAACCCGCCAGACAGTATATTGATTGGAGGTCCAGGGCTCCACTAACACGCCAGACAATATATTGATTGGAGGTCCAGGGCTCCACTAACACGCCAGACAGTATACTGATTGGAGGTCCAGGACTCCACTAACACGCCAGACAGTATACTGATTGGAGGTCCAGCTAGCACAACTAACACGCCAGACAGTATATTGATTGGAGGTCCAGTTAGCTCAACTAACCCGCCAGACAGTATATTGATTGGAGGTCCAGGACTCAACTAACACGCTAGACAGTATATTGATTGGAGGTCCAGGGCTCAACTAACACGCCAGGCAGTATATTGATTGGAGGTCCAGGACTCAACTAACACGCCAGACAGTATATTGATTGGAGGTCCAGGGCTCCACTCACACGCCAGACAATATATTGATTGGAGGTCCAGGGCTCCACTAACACGCCGGACAGTATATTGATTGGAGGTCCAGCTAGCTCAACTTACACGCCAGACAGTATATTGATTGGAGGTCCAGTAAGCTAAACTAACACGCCAGACAGTATATTGAGTGGAGGTCCAGTTAGCTCAACTAACACGCCATACAGTATATTGATTGGAGGTCCAGTTAGGTCAAATAACCCGCCAGACAGTATATTGATGGGAGGTCCAGGGCTCCACTCACACGCCAGACAATATATTGATTGGAGGTCCAGGGCGCCACTAACACGCCGGACAGTATATTGATTGGAGGTCCAGGACTCAACTAACACGCCTGACAGTATATTGATTGGAGGTCCAGGACTCAACTAACACGCCAGACAGTATATTGATTGGAGGTCCAGTAAGCTAAACTAACACGCCAGACAGTATATTGATTGGAGGTCCAGGGCTCCACTAACCCGCCAGACAGTATATTGATTGGAGGTCCAGTTAGGTCAAATAACACGCCAGACAGTATATTGATTGGAGGTCCAGGGATCCACTAACACGCCAGACAGTATATTGATTGGAGGTTCAGGGCTCCACTAACACGCCAGACAGTATATTGATAGGAGGTCCAGGACTCCACTAACACGCCAGACAGTATATTGATTCGAGGTCCAGTTAGGTCAAATAACACGCCAGACAGTATATTGATTGGAGGTCCAATTAGGTCAACTAACACGCCTGACAGTATATTGATTGGAGGTCCAGGGCTCCACTAACCCGCCAGACAGTATATTGATTGGAGGTCCAGTTAGGTCAAATAACACGCCAGACAGTATATTGATTGGAGGTCCAATTAGGTCAACTAACACGCCTGACAGTATATTGATTGGAGGTCCAGGGCTCCACTCACACGCCAGACAGTATATTGATTGGAGGTCCAGTTAGGTCAACTAACATGCCAGACAGTATATTGATTGGAGGTCCAGGCCTCCACTAACACGCCAGACAGTATATTGATTGGAGGTCCAGGGCTTAACTAACACGCCAGACAGTATATTGATAGGATGTCCAGGACTCCACTAACATGCCAGACAGTATATTGATTGGAGGTCCAGGACTCCACTAACACGCCAGACAGTATATTGATTGGAGGTCCAGGGCTCCACTAACACGCCAGACAGTATATTGATAGGAGGTCCAGGGCTTAACTAACATGCCAGATAGTATATTGATTGGAGGTCCAGTTAGCTCAACTAACATGCCAGACAATATATTGATAGGAGGTCCAGGGCTTAACTAACATGCCAGATAGTATATTGATTGGAGGTCCAGTTAGGTCAACTAACATGCCAGACAGTATATTGATTGGAGGTCCAGGGCTCAACTAACATGCCAGACAGTATATTGATTGGAGGTCCAGGGCTCCACTAACACGCCAGACAGTATATTGATTGGAGGTCCAGGGCTCCAGTCACACTTTTTGACAGTGATGCAGAGATCCATAAAGTAACTTACTGTATATTTTGATAGAGATATTGTTTTAAGTTTTAACCTAATCACATCACTATCTATGAGCCAAAAACCACATATCAAATCAATACCTGCTGGAAATGATTATCACACTGATTATCATATCTTAAAGGATGTGAGTTTTGATCATCATCTATGTTCAGCTGTTATAGTATTGTCTTTGGTTATCTGTGAACAGCTAAATGACCTCTCTATATAAGTTTATAACCTGACTACTTAATGACCATGCTTGATACTCCAGGGGTTATGCTCACAGTGAGTATAACCTTCGAGTATCGAGGATGCTAAATGACTGGTACTGTGACTTCGCTAACAGACACTTACCTTCTGGTTCCTCATCGTACATGTCTGGGTACTGCCTAAACACGTTGGTGTTGCGGGGAGCAGCCACGGGTAATGAGTTAGGATAGTTAGGGTCGTTCCTGTCCAGTATGGTCACCTTCACAGCCATACCATAGAGGTCCACTACCCCCCAAATAGTTAGCGGGGTTTCAGTAGAGGCCACACCCTGGTCTTGACCATTGATGTAGTAGTGGAGATGACCATTGGATTTCCTCATCAATCCAATTCTGTCTCCTTGCTAAAACGTAGATATTTTAAAATAGAATAAGAATAAACATATATTATGTTTTCCTACTTTTAAGGTAAGTCCTCTTTCAATAATTTATGTGTGAAACATCAACTTTTAGTATTTAAATCAACTAAACAATGTCCTCAGTTAGACATCTTCCCCAGCTTTATATCACTAACCTCTAGTTCGTCCAGGTTGTATTGTCCGTACTCTCGCCGCGTGCCTTTCCCATTGGTCAGGATCCCACACCCACTCATCATTATAGTACCTTCAATAAATGATGGGTATCACATAGAAATCATGTACCGCCCCCTTGAACCACCACCAAAAAGCTAACATGTTTGCATATTTTAAAACTAAAGTCAAAATGTTGCAAGAAAATAATTGTTACCATTCGTTTTTACTGCAAATACATGAAGTTACACATAAGTATACATCTAAAAACACTTCATAAGAAAAGATTATATTTGCGTATTAAAGCGATAATTTTTACCATAAATGTACTATAGTGTTCAAACTTAATGGCAGACCCCTAGACAATTGCCATGAAAAATACTGTTGGTCACTGCTTTAGAAAAAGTTACATCATGGGATTCAAAATTTAGTTTGAACATTAAAAGTTTTTTAATATATATATGACTGCTTACTTTTAAATTATCTTTATTTAAAACTGATGTATTTTCACAAGAATTTTCTCTCTTACAAAGTTCAGTACGCCCAGAGGGCCTGTTTTGCTCACAAAGCTATTTGAGCATTTCATTAAAAGTAAGATTGCAAATATTTCGTATTTGGGGCTAAGCCTCTCAGTACCCCTTTATGCAATCATGCTCCAAACTATATCCATTTAATCGTTCTCGGCAAACCGAGTTTTACAGACAAAGTTTGAGAAAAATGCCATGTCACAGCAAAGACTCTCTCTGTCCTTTAATTCAAGCAAGGCGAGCTAACAAAACAGATTCACATATCTTTATGGATCATACTGAATACTAACATTCACTATTTTAGAATATCAGAAATGTTTTGCAGTTGAAAGTTTGGCATTATATATCTTGTTAAAAAATTTCATAATACAGAGTACAAATTCAAAAATAACAGTTATAGTATGTAACAAACACTGTTACCATATATACCTGATCTCATGTTGGTCATAGTTGCGGGGAAATCTAGTGTTGATGGATTATGTGTTGTGATGCCGACTTCTATCGACCCTGACCACTTGTCTACCAAGATGTCAAGTCGGATCTTTAAAATAAAGGCTATATTGTAAAAGCTAGACATCAATAGTTAACTTAAATGTCAAATTTAATGTTACATGTATTGTCTACTCATTCTTTAGTAGATCTATGTTCAGGAAATTGTTGACATTATCCTTTTATTTTTTTTAATTTTCTATCACCATAACAAGGTATTCTTTTAGCTCCAAACTGTCAAAACAGTTAAAACACACCTTACTCATAGCAAATATCTAAAACACACTCAAACGCCAACAGATTAATAAAACTATAGTTTTCTTACTTCAAACATCTCATCATTTTTGAGTGGTCTGTTGGTCATCACCACTCCATTATTGAACTCGTCCAGTGGGCGTCGCCTTTCAGCTGTTCTGTGACTCTTGCTGAGTTTCACTAGACTCCCACAACGTTCATGGAATGTTAATCGTTCATTGGAGTGTACAACGCTCTCCTCAGAAACACTAAGGGCCTCAGCACCTCTTGTCAAATCATTCACAATCTGGTTGGATAATTGCGTCAAAAACTCATTTGCTAGCTGACTTGCTACATCATTGGTCACTGATACAGCTGTAATAGATGCATGTATAAACATTCTTTAATATATTGAAGTCTTTTTTAAAGAAAACTCCTGGTGTACTTATAGTTAAACCACAAATACAAGGTATACAAATGTTTATGCATAATCAATTAGATGTCAAAATTACAATATATCATCCAAAGTTGGCTGTGAGGTCTAGACAGTTTAACATTGTTTGAACCGTAATTTTTCTGGCTGAAGGCCTGAACTCGACTTCCAGAAGCAGGGGCAATTTGAAAATGCATTGTATAGACATTGTTTATTTCTAGATAGCCTGTTTGAATTTATCGATTGCTTGCATCTAAATTAGTGTTTTATGTTTGCATATATATCAAATATAATTCATTGTATAATCTTTATGGAATGCACTTCGTTTCAACTACAATACACAGTTTGGAAACAATTATATGTAAGATAAAAAAAATAATTCATCTCTGAAGCTCAGTGAATTACCATTTTGTTGATTTTCTGTGCTGACATTGGATACACTTTCGACGATAGACACTTGTGCACACTTTCCGTACAAATCTACAACTGCATACACGACTGATCCTATGTCTACAGCAGCCACTCCCTGATCTGCACCATTAACAAAAAAGTGCAGAAGGCCATGTGAAGTCCTCATTACTCCCACTTTGTCACCTTCAGACAGCTGATCAAGATCCGCTCCATACTCCTCTATCACAGAGTGTCCGTCCTTTAGGATGGAGCTACCAGACATTACCCATGTGCCTTCACGAAATCCTGTAGCACTTATTGGAAAGTTGAGATTGTTCGGATCGCAGGTGGTGACTCCAATCTCTATTGAGCCACTCCATGAGTTCACCTGAAAATATCAAAACAAGCAGAAATAAGCATTAAAAATTCCATGTCCTTTACTCTATAAACATGTTGTTATATATATAAACCCTACATTAAAATTGACACACCTCATGTTGTCCTGATCATCTCTTAAATTTAAATTAATTTAAAACTATTATGGCATTTCATCTTTAGTTTACACAAATGCAGCTTTCCTCTTATATCTCTAGATCTATATTCTATCTCCATTATTCGAAAACGTTTTTGTGCCCCATACGTCGCAGGATTAAAACAGTGAATATTCTTTTCTGACTTTGTTTATTTCACAGTACTTTATATTATCTAGCCAAAATGACACATTTGAAAGGCCGCATTTGAAACGTAATATTTGGTGATTTGTAAATATGCATTGCACATGCTCTATAAGTAAATATCAATATGCACCAGAAGTCATGTATTAGTATAGGAACATTAAAATGTGCTGCAATAAGCTACCTTAAACTTTCCATTGGTGTTGACTACTATATCAACTAAAATACATTAGCCTTTATCACGCGAAACAGTGGCATTGCGGCAAGTCAGACCCTTTGCTCCTCTGTGTGACTCGTTAGAGCAATAGCCTCGCCTGTTAATATGCTGTAACAATAAAACTATGGGTTGACAGAGAAGGCTAGTTCATGTCTCCTAATGTGGTTATATTACAACGACTATTGAATAGTATGACTGATGATTTGCAAGATTGGAAGTAAAGAAACAATACTATGTCTTTAATGATATACAAACATATTGGAGTGTTTTGATTCTTTAAGTGACATACTGTTTGAAGTATGCATACTTCGGTTATTGACATACAGACAATATGAGACATGCTAGGATCAATATATGTATTTTAGGAATCCTATCAAATAGTTTTCCAAAATATTGCACCATGACATCACCTTTTTATCTATTTTCACTTCAAATACTTGATCATCCTTGAGTGATTCGGCACTCAAAACAACTCCATTATTAAATTCTTGAGTTGGATGACTTCTCTGTGCTGTCCGACTGTCATTACTTAATGTGACCAGCGACCCTGTCCGACTATGAAATTTTGGCAGGGCCGCCATGTTTATGAATGTTTTATAAAATGCAGATGGCTATATCAAGTAAAACGAAAAACGTCTATAAAGGGACAATTTTATTAATTCATTGCTTAAAAAATATTTAAACTAAGATCTTTATATTATTTAAGGCAATAACTAAGAAGATAATTGAAAGAAAAAACTTTAGGCAATGAATATGAATCGATTTCTTTTCATTTCTTCTTAGTCGCAATATATAACAACATAATAATAAGTGCTCAACGATAAATGATGACGATTGTCTTCAATTAGGCCAAATATTTTCTATTGCTATTGTTGTGATTGTAAAAAATAGTGAAAGAATTAGAAAAATTGTAAATGAATAACGATATGTTAATGGTTATCATAAATTTTCTATTTTGACACTAACCCCCGGCCAATCTATATCACAAAGAAGATTGTGATCAATACCTTCTGATTCGCGTTCGTTTCAAGCGTTTGAGAGAATGAGCGATTATATCACGTGACACATGTAAAACAAATCTACCGAGATGGCGACTGCTATGTATCTGGAACATTACTTGGATAGTAAGTGTGCTACTCAACAAACCGAATGAATTTACGATGTGGAGATGTCAATTATTGGATACAGTTTTTAATATTCAACACCTCAAGATCATTGATTTGTACAGTTCAATGTCTTTAATTTAATTAAGTGACACACTTCCCGCCTCCGCACTTGACCGCCTTTCTTCATTCGTAAAATGCGCGGTTAGCATAATTAGACGGTTTTCTAATCAAGCGTGTTAATTATGTAGATTTTGAATCGATGTTTGCTAAAATTCCTCATGTGTAATTTCAAAGTCGTCGATGGAATTTGTCCATTTAAATTATGTTCGTTTTCAGTCATGAATAAAAGCCTCTCCGTCTCATTTTGACAGATCATGGAGGTAACTTTGACAGATTACATAAACCTGGTCAAAGGAGATGACATCTCTGCATGTGAATGCAAAAACAATGATAATGATAATATCCTGTCAATTTTTATTTAATACCTAAAAATTGTACGTCACAAAGTGTGACAGGGTTCTTCACGTTGTTTTTCATTCATAAGATGAAAGATGAATTTTAAATAACATATTGCAGCAGCCCAAGTTTCCTCTGGCCCTAACACCAACCTTAGACATTTTGACATATTAATGCCAGGTGTGAGGCCAGAGGGTACTCCTATATGAAAACGTGGAATTCCCTGAACTCTTAGGTATCGGAGAGTTAAAAGGTGCTGACAACAAAAATCTACTGTGATGCAACACATACCTCAAATACATATATAGATAAATGGATTGTTTATTGATCCAAATCAGCTCTTACCAGCAGCTGCTAAATTCTGTCAGTAGAGTCCTCGATTTTCAATCGTTCAAAATTTTCCACCTGAGCGTACGTCATTGATCCAGCCCGAAAACAGAATATAATATGACTCGGGCATTGCCTGGAGAGAGCGAAGCTCGTACATTTGTTTCGATAGTATAGTATAATTTTTGAATCATAACATTACCCATTTTAATACATACAAAATGTACCTGTAATTTTTTTTTTATAAAATACTTGAATCTGTTGCTAGGCAAAATCATTCATTTTGAAAACAGGCATTGCCTGAAACGAATGAAGCATCAAAATGCTTTTTTTTTCAAATCTTGCTTTCTAAATAACATTATTTAAAATATTATCTATTTATTCGTTTTATAGCGATAAAGTAATCAATGTAAAATTAATAATAAGTAAAGAAAAGCATTTGAATGAATTATGGAGTTCAAGAGAAAACGCAAATGCATTTGGTACTGTTGCATTTAATTCCCCCGTCTATGGCCCCAGCGTAATGTTGCGGAAACAGTGAGGCCCAGTAGAGGGACTTGTAGATGTATTGTTTATCAAATATAACTTATTATCTGTTATTATAAAAGTTAAGTATATTGGTGATTAAATTCCGATTTTATTTCTCGACATGATATACTTTGCCTGATCCCTCTAAATCGTGTAAAAAGAGAATCACAATAGCCCAAACATATCCGGATTTCCGTCTTGGTTTGGTAGTTACTATACACTCCCGGTTTGGGTGGAAAGAAGAAAAGACTGAAAATTTGAAAGAAGCTTCAGTTTCTATAATTTTGAATGTCATGAATTTACATAACCACAGAAAAAAAATATCTAATAAAGAGATATTTTTGAGAATGTGTAGCAAATTAAAGCTAAACAGCATTGTAAAAATAGGACCGCGGTAACTCTATACTAGCTACTTCCGTGACGAAGGATTTTGGAAGCATAGTATTTCGACGTTACCATGACTTTAATTGTTCGTACATGTTACCGGAAAAGAGCTTCGCTCTTATTATGCTTGTTTAGAAGATTTCCGGACCGCGTCTTTTTGTTGACTCCCCAAACCAAACAGTGTCGGAGAAAACCACGATTTCACATAGCAGTGCGCTTTGGCCCCACACCAGACATCTATATGTCTGGTGTTAGGGCCAGAGGAAACTGAGGCTAATATTGGAGGTGGACAATTGAAATGAAAATCTTATCTATTTGAGGTTTGCAATTATTTCATCCCCATATCCGTTTCAGTGGATGGTCAGGTGGCCCAGTGGATAACTCGCTCACCTTTAACCAAGGCAGCCAGGGTTGATTCCCCATTCTCCGGTTTCCCCCCACATTTAGACTCCCGCACATTAACACCAGGGCCAACAAGAGTAATTAATGAATAACATAAGTTGTATACCATATTGGTCAATCCAGCTACAGGACATCTACTTCACTTACCCAATTGTTTGGTCGCAGATCATAAAGTAATTTTTCATAATTGTTTTCAAATGAATGAAGTTTATATTTAATTATGAATCCTTTTGAAACATAGACTTTGATGAGGACCTCAATATATTTTCAAAAATTGCATTTGAACTGCAAGAAGATCTAGACTCGCCTTAATCTGAAGTGGACCCCATTAATGACAGTGTCAAAAGTCATATATCACATACATAGTACAATATATAGACTTTCTGTTTTAGATATATATCACATACATAGTACAATATATAGACTTTCTGGTTTAGATATATATTACATACATAGTACAATATATAGACTTTCTGGTTTAGATATATATTACATACATAGTACAATATATAGACTTTCTGGTTTAGATATATATCACATACATAGTACAACATATAGACTTTCTGTTTTAGATATATACCGCATACATAGTACAATATATAGACTTTCTGGTTTAGATATATATCACATACATAGTACAACATATAGACTTTCTGTTTTAGATATATACCGCATACATAGTACAATATATAGACTTTCTGGTTTAGATATATATCACATTCATAGTACAATATATAGACTTTCTGTTTTAGATATATACCGCATACATAGTACAATATATAGACTTTCTGGTTTAGATATATATCACATACATAGTAGAATATATAGACTTTCTGTTTTAGATATATACCGCATACATAGTACAATATATAGACTTTCTGGTTTAGATATATATTACATACATAGTACAATATATAGACTTTCTGGTTTAGATATATATCACATACATAGTACAATATATAGACTTTCTGGTTTAGATATATATTACATACATAGTACAATATATAGACTTTCTGGTTTAGATATATATCACATACATAGTACAACATATAGACTTTCTGTTTTAGATATATACCGCATACATAGTACAATATATAGACTTTCTGGTTTCGATATATATCACATACATAGTACAATATATAGTCTTTCTGTTTTAGATATATATCGCATACATAGTACAATATATAGACTTTCTGGTTTAGATATATATTACATACATAGTACAATATATAGACTTTCTGGTTTAGATATATATCACATACATAGTAGAATATATAGACTTTCTGTTTTAGATATATACCGCATACATAGTACAATATATAGACTTTCTGGTTTAGATATATATCACATACATAGTACAACATATAGACTTTCTGTTTTAGATATATATCGCATACATAGTACAATATATAGACTTTCTGGTTTAGATATATATCACATACATAGTAGAATATATAGACTTTCTGTTTTAGATATATATCGCATACATAGTACAATATATAGACTTTCTGGTTTCGATATATATCACATACATAGTACAATAAAGATCTAGACTCGCCTTAATCTGAAGTGGACCCCATTAATGACAGTGTCAAAAGTCATATATCACATACATAGTACAATATATAGACTTTCTGGTTTAGATATATATTACATACATAGTACAATATATAGACTTTCTGGTTTAGATATATATCACATACATAGTACAACATATAGACTTTCTGTTTTAGATATATACCGCATACATAGTACAATATATAGACTTTCTGGTTTAGATATATATCACATACATAGTACAATATATAGCCTTTCTGTTTTCGATATATATCACATACATAGTACAATATATAGACTTTCTGTTTTAGATGAAAGCAGAAATGGTACTGTATAAACCTTGTGGCTTTATATATTCTTTCAGTTGTTTGAATAATTATATGTAAATACATGTTTTCTGTCTGAAAGAAAAAAATCATGAAGACTTATAATTCTTCTTTATAATGCCATAGTTATATGTCAACAGTTTTTTCTAAAATCTGACATCAATTTTTCCATTTTTTTCAGGTCTTGAGTCCTTACCGACAGAACTGCAAAGAAATTTCAACCTGATGAGAGATCTAGATCAGAGATCACAAGGTAAAATCACAACAGCAAGTCTTTTTGATAAGATGTTTAATACTTTCTATTAATCTATTTACAAGATACATTATGTCTTATAAGGAATTGACTTCTAAAAGCTATATCACTTGCTTTCTTTGTTTTCAGACTTAATGAAGGACATAGACATATTGGCTGATGACTATGTAGTTAACGTTCGTGGCATGACAACGGACAAAAGAACAGAACACCTTGATTCAATCACAAATCTGTATTCCAAGAGTAAAGAGTTTGGAGATGACAAAGTTCAGTTGGCAATGCAGACATATGAAATGGTAAATATGAAAAATATTGTATTGAAGAGTAAAAATAATGTATCATGAAATTAAAATAGGAGGGTAAATTTACTACCTTAAAAAGCAGTTCTCCCCTTGAGAACCAGTTATATTTCGAAGTCAAAATGGCAGTAGCATTGGAAAGTGTTGTTACGTACCTTATAAATAAACACATGAATACAAGTGAAAAGAGGTGGATTCAGATCAGGGCAAGACAAATATTTTCAAATCCACTGGCCCATCAATATCAGGCCAGTGGATCTTAAAATGAACTTGCCCGAAGTAGAAATTTACTGGTCCAAGATTTAAAACCTTTTTTTTTTCAGCAAAAGTATCACTTTATATATTAAATAAAGACTTAATGCATCAAGCAGAATGTCCCAAACTTTTAAAATTATTACAGGACATTCAGGCAGGTAAATTATTGTTTTACAGGACCGGAAAAAAAATACAGCTTCAAAAACATTATATAAAAAAGATGAAAGTTTATTTTGAAACAAAAATGGTCATTAGGTAAATAATTCATCCATCCTGCCTCTTGTAAATGAAAACAGATTTATCCCAACAGACTCTTGGACAACAATCTTTCCTTTTCAGTTTTCATGAAATATTTTAACATTTTCCCCCTCAGTAGCTACAACATTAAAATGAGGATTATTTACTATTAAATTGCAGGTGATAGATTAGATTTACTTTATTTATTTATTGTAATATGTGTGATTGTTGTTTAGTTTTAAATTCCTGAAATCCGAGCCGGGATCTGTCCGCTTATTAGTCACGCCATTGCAACTTTCTTTTTGATAAACAGGGACGTTTTTCAAGCAAAAACGATGTCCCTCAGTTGTTACTAGTACATATTAGTAAGTAAATCCTTAATCTATCTCTCTTACCTTTTTAGCTTAAGTTTCAGTTATTTTCACCAGATTTAAATTATACAAAATCGTCTGAATTGATAGAAAGACCGATGGTAATCTACCGTCAATGTTTTCTTCAAAACGAAGAATGAAGTTTGTTTTTAAGAACTTTTTGTTTGTTTCATAATTGTTTAAGTGTATCTTACCAAACTACAGTCATTAATACATGACTTTTAAACCATTTGATTTTTCAATCCACCACCAAAATATTACTTTCCCGTCGGGCAAGTCTACAGAAATTTTCACTTGCCCTTCAACCAAATTTACTGGCCCCGGGCCATCAGGCTGGGGATATTTCGCGCCCTGCAGATTGATGTAATTCTAATTACTCAGGCGGTAGGTAATAATCTGCTTAAAAAAATTAAGAACATTTATTGATTTTGTGTACACATACTACGGTCATGAATATTTTCACCCACACAATACAAGATTGAGACACCATCATATTTATGTAGCTTCTCTCTCTGCTTTATTTAGAGATGTTAGGGGACTGCTCCAGAATGCAATGCAGAATTGTTTTTCACAGGTTGACAAACATATACGAAGGCTTGACGCAGATTTGGCAAGATTTGAGGCGGACTTAAAAGAAAGAGGATCTTCAAATGTTTCCAATACAGATTCTGATTCTGGAAAGAAATGTAAGTTTTGCAAGCTCTAATAAGTATTTTTTCTTGATAATTTTTGTCCTTATCAATAATTTCATCAAATTATTGATCATTACAAGCAATTTTGTGAGTGAAATATTTTACAGATATTTTTATGCCTTCATCAGAAATGAAATAACATTCTTTTTTGGCAGTAATACAAGATAAGTGTCACCACGTTGTACCTAGTCAATTATAGTATTTTACCTGGTAAGACATTATATAAATGGCTTTCAAAATCAAAATAAACGTATACATAGTATAAAATTCATCTGTCAACTAGATAACTACTAGAATCACCTTGATTTGAACAAGATTTTTCTATCGTTATATGTAGGGATATGAATAATACAACTTCTACTTTCAGCAAATAAAGACAAAGACAAGAAAAGAAAATCTATGAAAGACAAATTTGAAGATGAAATTCCCAGAAAGAAAAAGAAAAAAGGACAATCGTCAGTATTTAGTTTCATTTTGTTGCTAATTTTTGTAAGTGTATTCCGTCTTTGCGTATTGCAGAGTTATCTTCTCTTGGGAGCAGGTATTGATTGTTACGTCACTTGTTTGTGAGAGTAACGTCATCATTTTTTGAGAAAACGACGTAATTTTCTCACACAAACCAATGACGTAACAATCAATACCTGCTCCCAAGAGAAGATAACTCTGCAATACGCAAAGACGGAATATGTTAAAAGGTGATTCAGTGAATTTTAATAGCTGCATCGTTTTGTTTGAACGATGTATTGCAAAACATTCAGCTTAATTATAATAATAAACTCCATGAAAAAATCCTTTGGGGCCTCGTAGGTTATCTTTAGGCTGTATGAACAATATCAAAACTTTTTCATTATTGCATGAACTGTTTTCTACTTTGCCTTCTTTAAATTAAAGCAATCTTTAAAAAAACACATGGTAGTAGTCTCCTGATATAGCTCAGTGTTGAGTTTTCATTCTTACTGGAGAGAGTATTGCTGTGGTAAAGTGTCAGTTGTGAAATGCAGGAAAGGTACTTTTGTGAAATCAGTGTTTTATTTTAATGTGAGGCATTTAGAGGTAATTGTAGCATAACCCTAACAAAATTCTAACTCTCATACTATATCGTGACTTTGGAAGAGAATGTGTTATTGTGTAACTAGGCATCACACAGTCCCATTGTTTATGTTTACAGAGTACCTGAAGAAGAGGAGGCCCAAACACAAGTCACCATAATCCCACTACCTATAACACATCCCTCCGACGTCCTTGACATGCCGGTCGACCCCAATGAACCTACCTACTGTCTCTGTCATCAAGTGTCCTACGGGGAAATGATCGGCTGTGATAATCTTGAGGTACAGTGCCCATGTAATCGAACCTTGGTTGGGAAATGACATCCACTAATGAATTTAGGCAAAAAAAATACGTTGGTTTAGGTACATGGATGAGTAAGTTATTTTTAATTTGTATTAAAAGGGATTTTTTTTACCCATAATAAAGAAGTTATAAAATCCAAGGGAAAATATTTTCTGTCCCAACTTGCTCGGGCGAAGACAATAGTAACAAACTGAAAATAAGTCAAAACAAAAAGACCAAAAATAAACCCCAAAAACTACTCAGCTTTTGTGAATTTACAGACATTTTTAGCTCACCTGGCCCAAAGGGTATGGTCCCCCCTGGGGGCAGGGGGGCGTGGCCAAATAGGGGTAAAATAGGTAAATCTTTAAAAAATCTTCTTCTCAACCAATAAAAGGATTTGGACCAAATTTGTCCTAGAGCATCTTTGGTCAAATGAGCCTCAAGTTTGTATAAACGGAGGGTGTGGACCCTCTGGGGGCAGAGGAGTGGAGCCCAATAGGGGATTTACACCAAACAGGGTCTGAAGCATGATTAGGGGGGGAAAAACCTAAATTTGTTTAATTTGTATAAAAAGGTGCATGTGAGGCCCAACAGGGGAAATGGAGGAAAATTTGGAGGTCCAGTCCAGACAAATTCCTGGGGGCTACCTTGGTTTTCTTGGTGTCTTACCCACCAAAACAGATTTACATGTAGTTCTTCTTTCAACTTTGTTTCTTGTACTACTTTGATAAACCTGTATGGTACTCAACAGGTTTTAAATTGAAAATAAAATACCAGGTGAGCTACTAAGGCCCGGGCCTCTTGTCTAGTTTTATGATATGTTGTAAAACCCTTGCAAAGGATAAAAAATATACAGCTTTCAAATTAATAAGGGTATGTCTGATACGGTTTGGCCACATCTCTAGCACACACGCAGGCATACACACCTAGGGAGATATTAGCCAGGTGGCATAGGACTAGTTTTAAGCACCCGCGCAGGCAGCTCCTGCAAATTATTCAAAATTGTATTGATTAATGTATATGCTAATTGTATTAATTGTATATCTATGTACTGTAAAGTGCTTTAGAGTGGCTTATGTTAGCGAGATAAGGCGCTATATCAAATGATGTATATTAATTAATAAAAGCTGATCAGTCATATTAATGTGATAGGAGTTCACACAGTAGAAAATTGTTACAAATGATAGGTATGTCAAACAGATAATGTGGTAATGTAAAACCAGTAGAAAAGGAAGAGACAATTTATAAATTGTTGTACTGGATGATGGAGATTGATTTTGGTTTCATCAATGTCCCTTTAGTCTTTTCAAAAATCTTAAAGTATTTTTTGTCAAAGAAAAAATGCAATTCTGCAGAGGATCTCACAGTCATCACTTTGTGAACAGTTGAACGGTCATGCATGTTATGATTTGGGGAGGGGAGAGGGCAAAGAACTGCCTATATTTTCGTGTTGTTGAGTGATTCCACCACCAAATTTTTCAAGAAAAGTTTCTGGAATAAAAGATGCTTTTTGACATCAAAAGTAAACTCAAAACACCTGTCAGAGTAGCCATTCATGTTTTTATTTTTTTAAGTAAATAGAGCTCAAGATATAGACCTTTTTTTTCAAGTTAGGCTGTTGAAAATGGCACAGAACAGTTTAACTTACAAAACAACATGGCATATAGTATCAGATTCTGCAAACCAGTTGATGATCTGACAATACGAACATCTGTAATTTTTGAATATTTCTATGTTTATTTATTCCAGTGCCCAATTGAATGGTTCCACTTTGCCTGTGTTGGTTTAAAGACGAAACCAAAAGGCAAGTGGTTCTGCCCGCGTTGTACAGAAGAGCGGAAGAAGAAATGACCGACGTTGGTGTTATAGGATTCTCTAATACAGGTCTCTCCTACGAATGATGGCACCGTGACTTGTTGAACACGACCAGGGGGTGATCCCCCAGAACATTATCACCATTCACCTTGGTTAGATTCATCATGTTCTGCTCATCTCTCGAATGTGTTTTTCAAACATGTTGAGATTTGGCAAACAAAGAAGAAAACATCACCCTACATCATATCTCGCACCTTCCCCTACCATCATACACCATCATCCAGTGGTGTGCTATAGTGAGAAGTCCCATTGGGGGTGAAAGAGCTGGAGACAATTAGGTGTCATTGTACCACATATACTGTCAAATCCCAGCTATAGCTTATCCCTAGAAACTCATATTATAACTTGTAATACAAGTATAATGCATGTTTTGGAAATCTTGTTCTCATTTCAAGCCGGTTCCAGCAAAAGTATCTTGCTATTCTTCAATTTTGAGCTGGCTTGTTTGTTTGTTTTTAATGTGACATTATAGCATGTGAACATTCAAACAGATGTTCTCTTCAAGTGAACAACCTATTTCAAAATTTAGTAAGAACACTGATGACCAAAACCATTTTACTGGTTCCTAGTTCACATTATCAACAAGTATACACATTTACTGATAATTGATAAGTAGATATTTTTATAAATTTTAGCATTTATATTTATCATTACTGACCTTATAATATTACAGGAAATTCTCTAAAATATGGTCTCTACACAAAAACAAAATGACAATGTGTATGCTATTTGTTTGTCAAGTTAAAATAGTTCAAGTTTTAAAATATTTTTAATGCATATATTCATTTAAAACATACTCTGTTTAAATTGAACTCACAGACAGTATTGTGTTTAATTTGAATACAATATGTTTGCAGTTTTTGAAGTGATATCTATCTGGTTAATTTTCACCATATTCGTCTTCTCAAAATATAAATTCCTTTTAAGAGAAAAAACTGTGTAAAAGATGTTAAGTATAATTTGAGTAATGCATCACCTGTTTAGTATAATCCTCCCATCATCCCATCACCTTCACATAACTAATACCATAGGACCACCATCTACTTCATTGTTATACATTATTCCGTCATGCCATAGGACCACTATCTACTTGTTATAAGGTTTTCACCATTCAGTACTGGGCTCATTGTTGTGGACAAGTATTATTATTTAAGAAGGTAATAATTATACATTTATACATTGAAGCAATCACATTTGTAATATCCATGTTATTAAATTTTGAAATTAGGAAAAATGAACAGCGTTGTGATGGAGCTTGGTCAAGACCTTGGGACAAAGCAATACATTAATTTACAGGTACATTCAACACAATTTGTCCTGTTTGGATGCCGACGTGAATTTGGTTTGTAATTTCTACAGAACTGATTATAGAAAGGGGCTGTATCAGTTCCTTTTATAATGGTTCACTGGTAAATCTAGATAGGTGCTTTAGAATAGTAGTTTAGTTTTTTTCCTATTTTAGATATAACAAGTTGCCCTTAATTAATGATATTAAGCACTTATAATCTAGATCGAAGTGAAATTGGAAATAGACTGAGACTCTTCCCTCAATTGTTTTTAATGCATCAGAATTGGCTGTATGGTGTTGGTGAATATTGTTGTGTTTGAATAATTGTTATTTGTTGCAATGTTAGATTGTAGATTTACAGCCTTGCCTACAGCCATTCTGTCATCAAAGTTTTTACTCCAATGGTATTGATAGTTGAGACGATTGTAAAGAGTTTTTTGTCCGGATCCTCGTACCACTGCCAATAAGGACAGCAGTACATTGGTAACTTTTACAGCATCACTTTAGCTTGGATAGGTCCTCGTACCACTGCCAATAAGGACAGCTGTACATTGGTAACTTTTACAGCATCACTTTAGTTTGGATAGGTCATCTCCGAAAAAGAAAGAAACATTCCTTGCAAAGCTTTTATGAAAATATAATGCAGTTGATATAAAGAAACATGAATCACTGAGTTATAAAAAACAACGAGGCCAGATCAAGGAGCTGCCTTGTCAGGGATAATACCCTGCCTAGTCACATTATTATAGCCCAAACGAAATTGAGGAGAGGTAACTGGTCTGGATGTAAAAAATAATTCTGTACAATTTCTAGTGTTTTGTCTGCACTTAGAGCAGTGGGACAGGGATCCTTAAAATCTTGTTCGCTATTAACGACATAGTGGATACCATGTTTATTTTATTTCTTTGATACTCTACAATTACACAGATAAGTGTAATGTTAGCTGCACAGTTCACCCACATGATAGTTCAGTTCATATGTCAGTGCCAATACATGTGTAAAGATGTACAGATAATTGTAGAACTAGATTTATTTGATACTGATTAAATCAGTGATTTTATTTAATATTTAAATCTTTTTATTCCAATCATATTATGTTAATATGTAACACATTTAAATCTGACTGAGTTGGCTCTTTCAGTTCTATAAAGGTTCAAGTTGAACTTAAGACCTAAAGTATTAAATGTATGTCACACCGGTGTTGGGTCTGCATGAAAAAGAAGCACGTTTTCTTTTTAAAAAATATCTTTTCTTTTTCGCTTATATTGTAGTTCTTTATAAACTCAACATATCCCAATGAAAGTCCTCAATAATATTGCACTTTTCTCAAACTGGTGTTATTACCTCTATACAGTTATGCCTACATGGTTTCATATTTAATGCAGCTTAAGATAATAGAAATCAATATACTGTATACTTCGTTATATTGCGGGGGAATCATTTTTTGCCTTATTTGCGTTAACTAAAGATTGCGCAAATTTAAATATGCAGCAAATATCAAGACCCTGAATGATAAGTCTCCGTGAAAATATATACAGATGCAAAAGAAAAAACCTATTGCCAAATAATAAAGAAGATAAAACCACTTGATTTTGTGTTTTACTCTATAAAATAAATCCTATCACCCTAATACAAAAGTACCCTAATAAGTGCAATACTTTAACTTGGCCATGTTGTGCAAAATTTAATTCCCACAATTAGTTTTATTAGGGACAACCCCTAAATATTAGCCCTGTGAAATTAAACACAGTAGAATTTCCTTGAGAGAGTAATTCATTGCCACAGAAAGTAAAAGTTTATAAATCAAAGTTAACTTTTTCACTCTTTGTACATAAGGTAGTTTCACGGTCATGAAGTATGCGTTTGAATCTCATTAAATTGTGATTACATGTCATTTCCATATTGTGGAGCTCAGTTTGGTTTGGTTCTCCTGTCCTTGGTGTGAATGTTATTAGTATTTGATGGCACTTTATCATTTAAATCTCATAAGGATTGTTCCTCGTCTACATCTCCTTATCTTGTGTGACTCTTCATTAAAAAAAAATGTTTCAAAATCAACAGGAGTATTTATAGAATGGTTTGACTCTATCATAACTGTTCAACTCTGATTTTCTAATTAAGCTGTCACTCAAAGAGTGCAGTGTAGACTAAGCCTAGGAAGTTACCGACTTCACCTACTCGACCACAATCCATGTGCATTCAATTTGTTGGTACTTGTAAGTAACAACCTGTATTAGTCCCAGTATGTGTAAAGATGATACTCTCCACATTTTATAAGCATATTAAGCAGAGAAGTGCTATCTCTTTAAAACACTTGTTACGGGAAAATGGCTAATAAATTAAGTAAGTTTAGTTATTAAAATTGCAATTACACTTCAGGTGATTGCAATTGTTGCCTAGGAATCATGCTGTTACAGTTGAAGTGTTCTTATTTAGGAAATGTCTTGTTTTATTTGAAAATAATATCAAGCATTCATACCATTTTTAAAAGGACACACAAATGTTATAAAAATAATAAATGCCATTCTAACCTACATTTGTGTTGCTGATGTATTCACTGTAAAAGGCTCTTCCTCTCCAGTAAGTGCTCCAAAAGTATTGGAAAGTATTGACACTCTACATTCTAGTAATCTAGTAAGCACCTCTCTCCCATCCTATTCTAGTTAAATGCTCTCATTTATGAGATGTGCCAACAATTCATTAAATACGATAACAATTCAGAAAAATGACATTGTCTTCTGCCATTCGACAGTTTAGTTTGTCATATGTTCACTTTAGTTTTCACCTTATATTACTATTCTTTGATGCAAATTTATATGTCCTAGATTATTCTTACACATTTCAAGGTAGGAAGATTAGGCAAAAAATATTGTAATATGTATATACAGGGAAGTTATTGAGATTAAGATGCTGTAGATATTGGTCCACAGCTACAGCCTGTGTGTGCTGTAGATATTGGTCTAAAGCTGCAGCCCACGTGTGCTGTAGATATTGGTCCACAGCCACAGCCTGTGTGTGCTGTAGATATTGGTCTACAGCTACAGCCTGTGTGTGCTGTAGATATTGGTCCACAGCCACAGCCTGTGTGTGCTGTAGATATTGGTCTAAAGCTGCAGCCCACGTGTGCTGTAGATATTGGTCCACAGCCGCAGCCTGTGTGTGCTGTAGATATTGGTCTACAGCTACAGCCTATGTGTGCTGTAGATATTGGTCCACAGCCACAGCCTGTGTGTGCTTTATATATTGGTCTAAAGCTGCAGCCCATGTGTGCTGTAGATATTGGTCCACAGACACAGCCCATGTGTGCTGTAGATATTGGTCCACAGCCACAGCCTGTGGGTGCTGTAGATATTGGTCTAAAGCTGCAGCCCATGTGTGCTGTAGATATTGGTCCACAGCCCATGTGTGCTGTAGATATTGGTCTAAAGCTGCAGCCCATGTGTGCTGTAGATATTGGTCTACAGCTACAAAATAGCCCAAAATATTTAAACAACTTGTTATGAATAACCAAAAGGCTCAGGATGTTGATATTTAGTCAGTAGCATGCTGGGATCAAGGACTACTATGTTTGTTAAAGTGAATGACGTTGACTTATATTCAAGGTCACAGGAGTCAAATTTGTTTAAAATCTTTAAACGACCTCTTCTGAATAACCATGATGGGTCCCAGGATGTTGATACTTTGCAAATTGCATCCCGAGATGAATGGCTATAAAATTTGTTCAACGTAATGACTTTGTTTGACTTTCAATTACAGGGGTGGAATGTTAAAAATGAATTTTAATCATAAATACTGATATTTTGCCTGTAGCTTTATTTTAGTTCACTTTTAAGGTTACAAGTATGAGATTTATACCAGGTGAGCGATGCAGGCCCATTGGGCCTCTTGTTAGTTGGAAGCATTCATGGGAGGCAGGGATTCAAAATTGTACAAATGGTGGGGCTAACCCCTTGGGCTAAGGGGTGGGGCCAAAAAAGTGTATTACTTGGAAATGGTTGAAAAAGGTCTGGCCCCACCCTTGGAGACATAGTCCCTGGGTCATAACTTTGAAACGGTTGAGATCCCTACCCCAGAACTATATATACAAATGCTGGACATAAAGAGACAATGCAGTCATGATATTAGAATAGACCCTTGGGTCTGACCGAACCCCTAGGGACCTAGTTTCTTAGTCACAGCTTGGAAACAGTTGAGATCCCCACCTTATAATCATAGTTTACTGTTGAGATCCCCACCCCATAGCCATACATAAAATTGCTGTTCATGAAAAATCTAAAACAGATATATGCTACAAGGATTGGCCTTGGGGTCTGGCATATTCCCTTGGATCTCATTTGGAGAATATTTTGCCATGATTACTAAGATATCCAGGTGAGCGATACAGGCCCTCTGGGCCTCTTGTAATTTATATATGACATGACACAGGGACCTGAGAATTTGTTACAGCTATATTTGGACCTAAACTAAGGTGTTCAGAGTAATTAAACGTGTTTTAGGGGGTTAGATCGACTTTCGGAAAAAATGACCACCCATATGATGAAACATGTAAATTACTCTGAACACCTTAGTTTAGGTCCAAATATAGCTGTAACAACTTCTCAGGTCCCTGTGTGGCATGACGTAGAGTACGTAAGCGTGCTTGGTATCGAGATTGTTTACATTCCTACCTTGACCCACTTTAAGTATCACACTGGTTAAATGAATTTGTCAACACCATATTTAATCACTGTTGATCGACCCACGCCCTCTTGATTTCACCCATCTGTCGGCAGATTACTGTGGTATCCAAAATATATTTAGATAGTTTAGGTTAGGTTATCAGCAATCCAGCAACAACATTATTAGTGTTCTTCTCAATGGTACTAAAATAGTCCGCAATGCAAGCCTAAATTAAGGTATGATGAAGTTCTGTATATAATGTCAATCATGCTATTTGAAGCTTACCATGTCCGAAACAGGTAGGATAATCGATATTTGACACAATGACCCCCAACAGACCTGATATGGAAAAACGATGCCTACCCGTCTTTGGTCCTGATATGTCCAAACAAGAACTGATAAATTAACCAATCTTCACCCAACATTTCATAACTTCTTCCACAAAATGACCATGTTATTGTGTGTCAGACGATGGTCTAAGTAGGTCCGAGATGTGGATTGAATTCGGCCAGAATTGACGTTTTCCGATGTGTAAACATCTTGTTTGTAGCATGTTAAAATACTTGACATGTGTGAGAAATGTAAACGCTGACTCATCGATCACGGTCAATAATGTCGGCATAAAATAAGAATTTACCAGTGCAATTGAAAAGGTATGAAGGTGCCACCTTGATTGTTTTGGGGAATGACCTTTGCAATTTTAACAAAACATCGGAATCCATTCAGAACGTATATCCAAGTTAGCCCGAGTTTCCTCTGGTTCTGACACCAGACTTGTGACATTTGGAAACATCTATCTGTCAAAATGTCTAAAGTCTAGTGTCCGGGCCAGAGGAACTTGGGCTAATATCCCAGTACAACTGTACAAAGACAAAGATTTTCTAAACTTTATCTTCATATCAAGACATATGCTGTGCTAGATTTTACACAATAGCAACACCCGGCTCCAGTTGCTAAAGGTTTTGTCAGAGTTCGTATCGAATGATTGTATTCCTTGATATTAGGCATTGGGGATACAACGGCCCTTCTAGTACAGAAAACGTGCCAGTACGTTTCCTGAACACCTGAAAAAAGAATCCGCAACTTCTATTTAGTATCTTTCCCCTGATACCGCTACACCCACCCCAGACCATTTTATACCCCACCTGAGTTTTGGAGTTGTGTGGGCAGGAGAAAAGCACTTTTTCTAATATTCCATGCGTACGGCGACTTCGGGGATCGAACCCCGGCCGCCTCTTTGGAAGGCCGGAGTGTTAACCACTCGACCAATCCGTATAATCGTATAGTCTGCACGGTGTATTTATACATACGGTAAATATATGTAACCATTGATATGACACCTTTTTGACATTTCTAAATGATCATGACAACTCTTTTGGCCGTACTTATTGCTACTTCAGCTAATTCCTGACTAGGATGGCCCTGCTCAGGAGCATTAGTGACTATGGAGCACAGAACAATGTATATAGTTATAACGTCCCCTCTTGCGACCGTATAAACTACTATCTGCATTTATTTTGTCAATAAGCGTAGAAAGAAGTTTTGTTTTATTCCCTGATAAAAAAATCGACCGTATATATTTCCACATATTTCCATGGTGCTACTATAGCATGGAAAACACTCCTATTTTATTTCCTGATTAGTTTGTCCCTGGTCAGAACCGTACGTGCGCCACTGATATAACTTTGAGTTATATTTGAGCCTCTAGCTGCATTTGTTTTATAAATAAGTATGGTTTAAGAACCCCTATCATGATGTCCCGATCAGTATCGTATAAGCTATCCGATGTGTTTAAACGGCATATGTCCCCAGGCCGGGACATATACCAAAGTCCTTAAAATTAAAGTTGTTATTCCCTGCTTAATGTTCAGCATTAAGGGTAATGGCAACAACTGGTTCACCCATTGTTAGTATTATGTGACCGGGCGGAATGCTGTGCTGAATGCCTTCGGAAAGGTATTTCAGTGAGATAGCACTATTAAGTCGGCATCAGATCCGCTATCGCAAGGAGGCAAATTAACCCTGCCTCCACCACCGTACATACATCCACGCATACATGACACAGAGAGAGGCACGTCCTTAAATGACCTTAGATGTTAATAGGTCGTGAAACAAAATCTGACAACTAAACCAAACGTAAACGGCATTTAAGTTTTTTAGCACTGATATATATTTGTTTAATTTCTAAATCATTTTGAAACCTCTTTTACCCGTATATATTGCTACCTTTATTTATTTGATAAATAACTACGGAAATAATGTTCATTTTATTCCCTGACCAGGATGTCCCCAACCAGTACCATATGCAGGCGGCGAGGCTAATAAAGAAATATATATTTATAGGCAATAGGACATAGCATTATTTAAATAGCTTTGATTTCTATTTCAAAATCCTGATGACCCATCTTGTGACCAACTTACTGTGAATCCTCTCTCGACCTATGTAACACTATGTTACAAAAAAAAAGGTTAGATGTTAAACTTAAAAAAATCGTCACGTAATTTTCCTTATTTTCTTGATTCTATATTATTGATGTTATCACGGAATTAGATTAGTCCGTGATGTTATAAACAGATTTGTTGTTGTTGTTGTTGTGATATAATAAAGATATCAGTACATGTATATAGTCGTATGTTTCTATTTGGGTAAATATTGTGGTAGTTTTACTTTATTATTCATCTTTTTATTCAATTTGTGTAATTATATTGCTTTAAGATTAGTATCAATCCGCTTTTGACCGAAAACGGCATGTACATATGATATAAAAACAACAACATTGAAATCATTGGGATTTTTATACCCAAGTCATACATCACACATTTTAGACCAGTTTATTTTGTTGTGGTTGTTATGCGAGTCCGTGGTGAAATAC